ATCTGGGATTCAAAAGAAGTCTCAGGCTCCCAAACTGTCGTGATTTTTAGTGGTACATATAACATGCAGTAAAAACACAACTATGGCAAAAGTTGCAGCATGCCTACACAATATGTAAAGTGAGTTTTCTCATGTGTTTTAAGGATGTGTTTTAAGAATGTAGTAAAGGCTCTCCCACAATCTTTACATTCATAAGGCTTCTCCACAGTGTGAGTTCTTGCATGTGATTTGAGGCAGAAAAGGCTTTTCATGGTTTTTATTTTATTTTAATTTTTCTTGTGAAAATACTGTACAGAGGGGTTACAATTACATGGGCAAGATTATGAGTACATTTCTATCAAGCATTGCTGCCTCCTCCTTTGTTTCTCCTTCCCATCCCTTCCCATCTCCCCCTCCTCCCCCCACCCTCCTATCACCCCTCCTTTCATGGTTTTTTAAGGGGACCAGAAGAAAGACTTTTTCCTGCACTGCTTCCATCCAGAGGGTCTTTAGCCAGTGTGAGTTCTTAAATGTATTTGAAAGTAAGTAGAACAAATGAAAGTGTTCCCACAGTCTTCACATTTGTCGGGCTTCTTTCCAGTGTGAGTTCTTTTGTGTCTAGGAAGGCCACCTCAATAAGCAAATATTTCCTCACATTGCTTACATCCATAGAGTTTCTCTTCCATGGGTATGAAGATGACTCGAAAAACTGAAGGCCTCCTCACATTCCTTGCATCTGTGGTTTCTCTCCAGTGTGGATTCTCTCAAGTTGTTTTAGAGAACTGGGACAAGTGAAGGCTTTCCCACATTTCTCACATCCATAGGGATTTTTCTCCCAAGTGCATCCTGTCTTGTAATTGAAGGTAATTGAACAAAGTAAAGCAATTCCCACAGTGCTTAAAATATTTTGTTAAAAAGTTAAAAAAAATAATGTTCCAGTGGCTCATGTCATTAATCCTAACCACTCAAGAGGCTGAGATCTGAGGACTGAGTCCACGTGACTCATCTCCAATTAACCACCAGAAAATCGAAGTTGTGCAGTGGTTCAAAGTGGTAAAGCGCTAGCCTTGAGCAAAAAAGCTCAGAGACAATGCCAAGGCCCTGAGTTCAAGCCCCATGACCAATAACAATAAAATAATAATAATGTTGTTTTTATGAAAGCGTTGTACAAAGGGTTTACCATTTCATAAGTCAGGTAATAAGTAAATTTCTTTTTTATTGGACAATGTCACCTGTTCCTTTCCTTTTTTCCCAGTTTCCCCTTCCCATCCCTCTTTTTTTTCCTCTTAGAGAAAAATTTGGATATGGATTTATATTGTGCTTGGCAGTAGGTTTTTATTAAATTGATGAACTGGACTAGAGTGAAAAGTTCTCCTATAGTGTATTGTTCATACATTAAAATTATGTATTTTTTCATCTAACAATTTCTGAAAGGATCTTTTGTCATTCAAGTGACAGAAGCTCCAACCCAAACTGAATCTGTAAAGGTAATTTCACGTAAATCTGATTAGCAAATCTGCAAGGTAAGATTTGACCTAGAAATTTATGATCCATTTCCTTTTCTCTGACTAGTTCTTGTTCTTCCCTTCTCCAGGCATAAGTTCACCTTCTAGGCAAGCTTCATGGTGACAGCCTTGCTTAGACAACTATAACTGGGGGAGATGAGTGAATCTGTGTATCAGCACTCTCTTGGAGCCCCGAGATTCACTCATATTTCTTGTCTTTACCTATGTGCTCACTCAGACACTGTTTTAAATTTTTTCTTTTTCTTTTTTTCCCACCCCTCCCACGCCCCTCCACCCTAAGTTGTACAGTTCTTCAACATAGCGTCTTGTGCATCTCATTGTTACAATGAGTCAATCTGTATCCCTGTTTAAACATTTTGTTTTTTCCCTTCCCCTCAACAAGTTATACCAACATCAAATACAGTGAAAACAGGGGTTAAACCATGGGGGAGGGATCAGACACTCTTTTGTCAGAAAAAAGTGTAATTAGCATTTGACCTTAGTGTAGTTAGCATTTGTGTAGTTAGCATTTGGCTTTAGTTTACCTGCCTATTTCTGAGCCATCACTGTTGCTTGCAAATTGGTTTAAGTTATTTGGGACACATATTCAGAAAGGTGATTGTTATTTATCATATTCAGAGCACAGCACTGGAAATCATGAAAGGATTTTTTTTTTGGTCGGTCGTGGGGCTTGAACTCTGGGCCTGGCCGTTGTCCCTCAGCTCTTCAGCTCAAAGCAAGCGCTGTACCACTTGAGCTACAGTGCCACTTCCGGTTTTCTGGTGGTTTATTGCAGATAGGAGTCTCACAGTCTCTCCTGCCCGGGCTGGCTTTGAACCTGATCCTCAGATCTCAGCCTCCTGAGTAGCTAGGATTACAGGCATGAACCACCAGCGCCCGGCATGAAAGGATTTTTTTTTTTTGAGTTATGTTTGAACTTAGGGCCTTTCATATGTTCAAGTGCTTTACTAGAGCTCTCTCTTTGGGGGGGTGATTTCATAAAGGAATATTAAGGTTCTATTATAAAGTGATTAAGGGAATATTTGCTAGTCACCTTGTTAACAGAATGCTGGCTCAGTAACACAATATGATACAATATAATAGTAGTAATAATTATAATGAATATTTATTGAATCCTGTGACCCAGGTACTACCCAAAGCACTTTATAATGTACTAACATTGGTTAGATTATCTGGCTATATACAATCAAATTTCATAGCAGAAGTGTAATGCAAACTATTTTTAAAATCCTACATAATAGGAAACAAAGAAAGCAGAAAGCAGCTTCATCTTGTCCTTTTATCTTCCTGTTATTCTCAGTGTGAGGCTTTCTCTCTAATGGTCATAAGATAGCTGATGTAGCTCCAGGTATTGCACCCTATTTCCAGGCAGAATATAGGGGTATGGTGAACTGGAAAAGGCTTCTATCAGCCGAGACTTTGCCTTTTTATCAGGGAAAAACTTTCCTCAAGGCTTCAGCCAATAGATTTCTGCTTATATCTCACTGGTTAGAATGGTGCCACATACCCACTCTTAACTTCAAGGACTACTAGGAAATCAAGTTTTGTTGAACAAAATTGGTATTGTTGGTAAGGCAAAAGGGAGAATGGACATTGGTTAGGCTACTATCAGTGACTGCCACAATATGTATGAATTCATTTTTTATATACCCAATAAGGTCAGTGCTATTATGATTGGTACTAGTTTTGTAGATCAAGTGGTGGTCACAAAGATTTTGTGATATTATCTGATTTATACACACAGCTATTAAGTAGTGGAGGTAGAATTGGAATCCAAGCAAGGTGACTTTAGAATCTAATTTTGTATTGTTCCTACATGCACCCTGATCCATGAGCCACACCACATTTCTTCTCTAGGATGTGCATCTACTCCTGAAATGTAGGTCTCTTCTAAACAGGGAAGCTAATATTAGTTTTTTACCAGTTCTGGGACTTGAATTCAGGGCTTGGCACTGTCCTTGAGCTTCTTTTGTTCAAGAATATCACTCTACCACTTGAGCCACAGCACCACTTCTGGCTTTTTCTGTGTATGTGGTACTGAGGAATCAAACCCAGTGTTTCATGCATGCTAGGCAAGCACTCTACCACTAAGCCACATTCCCAGTCCATGGAAGCTAATATTAGTTTAATGCCTTGTAGTTTATGAAGAGATTTCCACTGAAATAATTCCTTTCAATATTGTCATTCACATTTTATGTATTGTTTAGTGTTCAGTAATAAGTAGTACAAAGGGGTTTCATATGAAAATTCCACACATGTATACAGTGCATTTTGCACTAATTCACAGTGTTATATTCCTTTATTCTCTCTCTTCTCCCGTACACTGAAAATCACTGGTAGGTTTCATTATTCTAACCATCCATCCATACACACAGACACACACACAGTATCTGTGATATATTTTGATTTTGTTTCACAACATGGATCCCATTGCCCAAACAATACCCCATTTGTACTGAAGCCCAATGATTGGCATCTTTACCTACCCCTGACTTCCTCTCATAGTCTACCTACTTGTCGTTTGCATTTTCACATTCTTGTAAAATTACTCAAATTTTATCAGGCTAGAACCATCAAGATGGTTGTCAGGCTTTCTTTTTTTCAGTTGTGGGACTTGAACTCTGGGCCTGGGAGCTGTCCCTTCAGTTCTTTAGCTCAAGGCTATCGCTCTACCACTTGAGCTGCAGCGCTACTTCTGGTTTTCTAGAGGTTAATTGGAGATAAGAGTCTCATGGACTTTCCTGCCCAGCTGTCTTTGAACCATGATGCTCAGATCTCAGCCCCCAAGTAGCTAGGATTACAGGCATGAGCCACCATCACCTGGCTATCAGGCTTTTTTTTTTTTAAGCTGGAAGTAGGGTTTGAACTTAGGGCCTTGCATTAGTGAATCTGGTGTAATATGGTTGAGTCATGCCTCCAGCCTTGTTTTTTACTGATAGGCTCTTCCCATCTTTGGTGTATGCCTGAGCAGTAATCTACCTACTCTAGGCTTCTCATCATAACTGCGGTCATAGGTGTGTGCCACTGCATCCAGTTTTCGCTCCTTGGAGATAATGTCACAACCTTTTCTACCACATCTGGTTTTTGTTCTGTAGTGATACAGTCATAGTCTTTTCTGCCCTATCTGTCCTGGTACAGCGATCCTTCCTGTCTAAATCTCTTATGTAGTTTGGAAGGGCAGGGTAAGCTACCGGTGCCTAGTTGTTGTCAGTTTGTCTTGTTGAAGCGTTTGGAACAATACTGAGTACAAAATAGATGCACAACTGTTTGTTGAATACATGAATGAAACCAAAGTGAGAGTAAATTTCCTAAAACAAAATGCTTTAAAAATGTCCCCAAAGGCTTGCCTGTGAACTCTTAGCCATCTGAGGCAGTAGTAGGTAGATTTTTGAGAAGAAAGCTATGGATCTTTCTCCAGCTATGCTTTAGCTAGTAGTTTTGACTTTCTCCTAAGAAACAAACTGTTCATTATTTTCCCTGCTTATGAACACAAAAATGGTTGACAAGGGTCAGTGGTGGGCAAGAAAAAAAGTGAACGTAGAATCTGCCTGATGAGAGGTCTCTCATCTAGATTGTGTTGCTCACATTCCATTGGCAGCTGCTATCATGTCTACATCCTACATTGTGGGGTTGTCAAGGTAACTTATTAATACATCATTCTATAATTTTCCTCTGGAAGCTTCCAAAGATGACTAAGTAAAGCTCTTTGAAGAAGGACTTAGTATAGGATACATTGTGTGCTGAGTTTACAGATCAGACCTGAAGACTCACTAACCAGAAATATGAAATTTTAGGAGTCCCTTTCCCCATTGAGCCAAGGTGGAAGGGATAAAACCCAGAGGAATGATTGTAATAGATAATAAAGTTTGACAACCGCAGGTCTGTGTGGCATTAGGCAAGTTTGTTAACTTCCTCTCATATTGTGTAAATACTAGATACTTTTAATGGCTTCTTCAGCAGCTTTAAATGCCTGATTCTTCTATTAAATATCATTCCAAAATAATATCTTTCTTTCCTCCCTTCTTCCTTTTCTTCTTGTTCTCTTCTCCTGAACAAATATGCTCAGAGAGTGTATATGTAGTATATGGGTAGTAGATTTGTAGTGACCCTGAATGATCTAAAGTAGAATGCCATAAGGCTTCTTTTGCCTTTAGACTTGATTTTATAAACATTTTTGATATTATGATATAGAGAAAAAGGACATGGTAAACATTAAAATTACCAAAATTAAAATAATCCAAAGGATAAGAGGGTTAATTAATTTAATATGTAATTGGGCCAGGTCGTGGTCAGAAAACTGTTATTAAAGTTATTGTTTTAAAAATATGCTCATGCTGTGTGTACAATACAGGCAATGCATATAAACATCTATATTTAGTACTAGGGTATAAGATATGCTAAGCACATGCTTTACCACTAAGTTATGCCCCAGCCTTATTTTTGCTCATTTTGTTTTCTTTCTTTAGTAGAGTTGAATCCTTGCAACTTTGAGTATGGTAGTAATGAAAAAATAGATATAGGAGCGGAGAAGGTGGTCAGTGGTAGAGTGCTTGCCTTGCATGCATGAGGCCCTGGGTTCGATTCCTCAGCACCACATAAGCAGAAAAAAACAAAGCCGGAAGTGGCGCTGTGGCTCAAGTGGTAGAGCGCTAGCCTTGAGCTGAAGAGCTGAAGGACAGCGCCCAGGCCCAGAGTTCAGGCCCCATGACCCCCACCCCCCAAAAAAAGAAAAAATAGATATATCTGGAAGACTGTACAGAAAGTTGTGCTCTGACTTTTATACTAAAAGATGTAAATAGATTTGGTCAGACTACTTTTGAGGTTCCCCAGATAAGAAAAACACCCCCAAAAGTCTTGAGACAGTATACTACAGAGAGAAATTTTGATGAAAACCCCTAGGTCAGTAGAGTAGGCCTAGAATGCATGATGGGAAACTAATTTGGAGGAGCTTTAGCAATACCTAGAGAGCTTGCTTTAGAAGGGCACACTCAGATTATACAGTTTCTGAATTTATTATTTTTTTTGGTGGGTCAAGGGGATTGAACTTTGGGCCTGGGTGCTGCTTCTCTGAGACCTTCTTTATTTCCTTCTTCTCTCAGTTCCTGGCTGCATTCTATCTAAATTTGTATTTTTTATGGCTTCCATCTATGTTGTTATATGTAACTGTATTTCATTCCTTTATATTGTTAAATAACCCCATTGTGGGAATGTCATATTATGTTTATTCATTCATTCCAAACTAACTAGTATAAAAAGGGCTAAAATTAAGGCTCAGAAGTAGAATTTTGCTTAGTCAGTATGGGTTCAAACCCACTCAAATTAGGACCTGTGTTCAAACCCGAGTACTGTACTGACCAAAAACAGAAAAGCAGATACCTAAGCATGGCTGTCTACTTTCAAAAATGTAGCACTCACAACTACTAATAAAATAAGTCCAGTGAACAGAGAACATTGATTGTGTTACTTGCTTACCAAACTAAGCACTGACTTCCTTTTGAAATTGGGGTAGGGATTCCTGCAAGGAGTTGAACATAAGCCAGGCAAAGATGGAAGTGGGGGAGTGAGCACCCCTCTCCTCCTGTGTATGGGGGGAGTAGAAAGGATAATACATATGAAGTGTCCAGCTAGTGCCAGGCACATAGTAGGCATTCAGTAAATAGTGGCTAAGGGAGGAAACATATGATAGGATTAGGGGATAAAGTAACTGGCCCAGATTTTGGATTGAGAGAGGTGAGTTTATGCAAGGTAAATAACTTGGAGAGATGTATGATCACACTCATTGTTTATAGTGTTTTGTGTAGTTATGATTTAGGAATCTTGTAATGATTTCATTTTTTACTGAAGCTTGTATTTGTGTGCATATAAACTATATTTTTTCTGACTTTCATATCCTGTGGGTCTGCAGTGGTGAAAGCTGCATTGGTCATCCAGAAGAGGTATCGAGGTTACAGAGCTCGATTGAAGGCCAGAGAGTATTGTGCCCTTGCCATATTCCAGTCCCTTGAATATGCTGATGAACAACGGCAAATGCAGGTCTGTTTTGCAAGGCTGTCTCTTTCTCTCTGCTCCCTACTATTAAAGTGCTTCTCTTTGCCTCCTCTTGTTGAAAGAATGGAAGTTTGGGTCCATTTTAAGCTGAGGAATTTTGGTTAGAGTCTTTAATATAGAAGGTAGCATCAGCCAGGCACCGGAGGCTGAGTCTGAGGATCGATGTTCAAGGCTAGCCCCAGCAGGAAAGTCTGTTGAGACTCTTATCTCCAAAAAACCACTAGAAAACCAGAAGTAGTGCTCACCTTGAACTGAAGAGCTGAGGGACAGTGCCCAGGCCCAGAGTTCAAGCCCCATGACCGACCCCCCCCCCCGAAAAAAGAAGGAGGTAGCAACACTGTCTTCGAACTAGTGTTTTAAGGAGCCACATTTTTTTTTTGGGTCCGGTCGTGGGGCCTGAACTCTGGGCTTGGGCACTGTCCCTCAGCTCTTCAGCTCAAGGCTAGCGCTCTACCACTTGAGCCACAGCGCCACTCCTCGCCTTTTTCTTTTTGCTTATGTGGTGCTGAGGAATCGAACCCAGGGCCTCAGGCATGCAAGGCAAGCGCTCTACCACTGAGCCACCTTCCCAGCCCCAAGGAGCCACATTTTCTTAATACTGGGGACTATCATTTGGGAAGAAGGTGGTTTCCAGTTTAGAAGTTGATTTTTTTTCCAGAGGACTTCATAGTATCTAGCTAAGTAATAGAGATAGCCTTATCCTATTTTGGGGTATGTGCCCTAGTGGGAACTAAAGTTGTTACTTTATGGAAAGAAAGGATGCTTTAAGATTAAAAAAAATGAGAGAATTTCCTGTGAGTAAATTTACCTAAGTTCTATAAGAAAAAAATATGTGTGAGGGAGGAATACCTTTTTAAAGCCTGCAATATGATTTCAGAAATCCCTCTTTAATACTCGCTAATAAAAGGGCACTTTTTAGCAGTAGAGAAGATCTCAGACAGAGGACCAGTATAGTTGTTAATGAAAAAAATTAACTTGTAGAATCACATGTAGAGTTTATCCCACATATGTGAAAGAAAATTAAACGCACAGGGAGAATCTGGAAAGAGGTATCCAGCAAATTTGTTTGCTATGGTTAGTTCTGGGAGTAGTATTGATGGGTAAATATGGATGTCAAGAGGGACTTGTCACTTTTAGTAACAGATTCTAATCTTTAAAAAATAGTTGGTGTTTGAAAACAAGATAAATGAGTGGGCTTCTTGTCTGCTCTTAAAAAGATACACTGGGACTTAGTCAAAGAATCCTTTTTTTTTTTTCCTGATTAAGAGCGCACAATGTTGGCTGTCTTTTATTTTTAATTTTTTTGTCAGTCATGGGGCTTGAACTCTGGGCCTAGATGCTGTCCCTCTTCAGCTCAAGGTGAGCGCTCTACCATTTGAGTCATAGTGCCATTTCCGGTTTTCTGGTGGTTTACTGGAGATAAGAGTCTCACAGACTTTCCTGCCTGGGCTGGCTTTGAACCGTGATCCTCAGATCTCAGCCTCCTGAGTAGCTAGGATTACAGGCGTGAGCCATCAGTGCCCGGCAGTTGGCTGTCTTTTTAAACACTACTTAATCTTACCATTGAAGAGAAAAGAGTCACAACTAATCTAGCAGTCCCACTTGGATATAGATAGATAGATAGATAGATAGATAGATAGATAGATAGATAGATAGATAGATATGATAGATATAGATTTGTATAAATAGATTTATCTATCTATTTATCTATCTATCTACCTACAGATAGATATAGATAGATAGATATATATAAAGAAAATACAGGTAAGCAAAAAGTTTATCTTAGGTTAGACCTCCTGGAGGCAGAGTGAGACAGATTCTGATATAAGCAACTTACTGAGACTGAAAGAATGTTCTCAGGAGAAACCTTTAAGGGAGTGAGGAAGGAAAGCAAGCTAGGATGGCAGGGGAAGCTTTCAGAGAAGTGTGACTCAGCCCGATTTCATCAGGAGACCTCAAGTGTGAAATGAATTACAGATTGTCTCATGCGTAGGCAGAAGGTGGGGGAAGGGGCTGCTGTGCTTTTGCCTCTGTCACTTGTTGTCTATGGCCATCCTGCCAGCAGAGATGGACGTGTAATATCCCATGCTGCTTAGTATGGTGCTGCCCATCTACAAGGGCAGGGATAAGTGTGGCACCTGTGCCCCTGTAGCAGCGGGTAGGTGAATGCCTCAGAGTAGAAAACTGGCACGGAACTGGCAGCATTTTTCACAGTAGATGTTTGGGCTTCATTAATTGATTTATACATTTTTATTTTATCCAGTTATCGAGTATCTTTTCCTTCATGTTGGAAAATTATACACCTATATATAAAGAAAATAGAGGTAAGCAAAAAGTTTAATTTTTGAACTAGTCATTAGATACTGAATTATTAAGAAATGCAGTTCCTGTAGAAGGCTATCATTTTCATTTCTCAGCTTTCTCCTATCTCTCTATGTGATACCCCACAACTGGTGAAATCACCTTGACTGGATTTTTTGTATGGTGTCTGCTAAGTTGGTTTATTATTTTTTACTTTTCAAAAAAAAGAACAGATTTCATTCAGCATCCATTAGCTGAATATCTCTCTTGAATCACAATCTTTGGATACAGAACAGTAGTTTAGGAAGTATGATCTAATTTTTACTCAAAAACTCTTGTGCTGAGAAATCACAATATTTTGAATATTTCATATGGTGGGTCAGATTAAAAATGGCAGATTAAATGTAACTGACACCGACATACTTCTGTTTTCTTCTCTTGTGTGTCTGTGTGTCTTCTTTGGTTTGAATATATTCCTACTTCCAAGAATTCATGTGTTGCAACAGTATTGAAAAGTTGGACCTTTAGAAGATAATCAAGGCATGAGACCCTGTCCTCATGAATGGATTAATACCATTATCGTGAGAGTGAATTTGTTGCCTAGACAGTGATGTCCTTATGAAATGACCTGTCATCTCTTTTTTGTATGTGCATGTTCTGACTTATGACATGGCAAGAAAAGGCCTTTACTAGTCATTGCTCCCTTGGTGTTGGACTTTCCAGCCTCCTGATCCCATAGCTGAATACATTTATGTACATTACAAATTATCCATATATAATATTCTGTTATAGCAGCAAAAATGACTAAACCACTATAATCTCACTCTTTTTCTATCATCTACCTGGCCACTGTGAACCAGAGACTTGGCAATATAGGTGTAGTACAAATAGTTTTAAAATTACAACTCTTCACAATGCATGCATTTTCCTGCAAATTAAGATCTTCCTCAACCACTTTGGAAAGCAGTATGGAGGTTCCTCAAAAGACTCATAGAGCTCCCCTATGACCCAGCAATCCCACTTTTGGGCATTTACCCAAATGTTCACAAACAAGACCACACTAAAGCTACCAGCATGACTATGT